AATAAATATCAAATAAATTAATTGATATTAAAGTTCGATTACACACATGAAACCAACGAGTAAACGAGCTAAATGTAACAAATATAGCATATTCAATAAATAATTTTAATGGTTTATTTTTTTGATGTAATTTATCTAACTCACTTAAATTAAAAATATATGATATTCCATTATTAATATTGATATTATCAATTTCAAAATAATGTATGTTATTTAATGTGTAAGATTTATATACTGGTTTATATTTATTAATATAATTTTTAATAATATTATTATTTTTTATTTTTAATAATCTAACATCGCCTAAACTATAAGATAATACTATGTCTTTAATGTCTAATGGTAAATCATAAAATATCATATAATATTAATATATATTTAATTATTTAATTATTTAATTATTTAATTAGTAATTTTCAATTATTGAGAAAACTTTTTCATAAACATTTTATCTGGGTTCTTTTCTAAAAGGTTAATATATAAAAAACTATGCGGTTCATCAGTGGCAGTCTCATATATTTTATAAATTAGTTTCTTGCTTTCATGTAAATTATCGCTTCTAACAATTGCTGATAATTCATCTTGCAATATTTCTATCTCTTTAAAATTTCTAACTTTATAATAAAACAAATGACTTATATTTACCCTAATAATTGGTGGTACGGTTGATGATTTTTGAAGACTTACAAGTGTTGATATTCCACTATGACGACCTCTACAAAATAAAGAATTTAACAATTTGTTATTTCTTGTTATTGCTGGATTATCAGATACATCATCCAAAATTACCAAAATATTAAATAATTTCTTCGTTCCTTGTTTTTTCTGATATTCAATTATTTTATTTTGAGTTTCTATAACTCTTTCTAAATCTTCAACATTGAACTCATCCCACCAACACGGTTCTTTATCATTATCTACTTTCAAACCTTCCTTAATGTATTTCTTCACTGGCAACCAAATACTATCCAAATTTACAGATGGAGACCAGATAAAAATTCTTTCAAATGCTCCTCTATAGATATCAAGTATCATTGATACAAGTAAAGTTGATTTTCCACTTCCAGATGGACCGACGATCATAGCTCTCATCGGCAATTTAGGGACAACCTCATGCTTACTTTGCTTAAAGTCATATTTGATTTCATCAATTGGTTTTACATCAGGCATAATAAAAATAATATTATAAATACTTATAAAATAAAAAACATATAATATAATTATATCATAATGGTAATAGAATCTATTAATTTAAGTGAAGTAGATAGTATTCGAACTATATATGAATTTGGTGATATTTTAGTTCCAGATACTGGCCAAGTATATTATGATACGATTTTATTGTTTTTATCGATAATTAAAAAACAAAATATTATAATATCTAAATCATCAATCGAAAACGAGGATACCCTAAATTATAATAAATTAGTAAATTTTATGAAAGATTATTCCTATATATATAGAAATGAAATGATAAATAGTGTACAAGAAATTATTAATAATAATATTCTAGATGTTAGTATATCAACTGCAGTAAAACTTACTAAAGAAAATAGTTTAAATACATATTCTATTTAATATTAAGGGAACATCGTTTTATGATATGATTGGTGGCGAATATCATAAAATGGAACAGGTTTTCCATTGCTACAATCAATAAGCATTGAAGCTAATTAGTTTGTATCTCTCTCGCGTGTGCAATGAAAACCCCAAGTGCTGTGCCCCACCAATATTCTATTATGCATGAAAATAATAAGATTAAATAAATATTTTATCTTATTATTTATATGACTATTATCCATTGCAGTTGTGGTAAAACTTATGATGACAAATATTTATTTAAACATCTAAATTCAAAATATCATCAGAAATTTGTAGAATATAGATGGAATAAAGACGATACAATGAAAAAACTTTACAAGAAAAGAAAGACAGAAATGAAAAATAATTTATCTTATTATTTAATATGAAAAGGAGTTATACAGATTATATTAATATAATAGATGAAATGGAGAATATAGAACAAGTACTAATAACTGATAATAGATGTAAAAAAATATGTTATTTTATTTTAGAATTAATTAAGTTTTTGATACAATATATTAAAAATATAAATATTAATATAAATGCCAAAAAAGAAAAACAAAAAGAATAAGACAGGTTTAAGTGTTTCTTCAACAGAAGATAGCGGAGAAATTGTTAAAGAAACATCAGTATTCGAGATTGCTTGTCCTATGTGCAAAAAGATGTTAGAACTTAAAAATGAATTAGAAATAAAAAATAATAAAACATGTAAATGTTCATGTATTCCAACAAGTTTCAAAATAAGTAAAAATGATAAGAAAATGAATATTGATAAAACTAAAGACAGTATCAACTTAGAAACTGATGTCCATAGTATAACTTTTAAATTTGGTAGGCAAGCAACACCATCTGATAATAATGAAAACGAAACGCAGGAAACTATTAAACAAATGATGAAAAATTAGTATTTAAAGAGTAGATTTAACATAATTGCACTTTATAAATATATATATAATTAAATAAATCAATAAATATCTAATTATTTATATAATCATAATGCCAACTATGAATGGACAAGACCATAGAATTATAACTTTTGACAATGAAGAAATTAAAGACCTATTCGATGGTGATAAAAACTTTGCTAGACAATTGAGTATAGAATATTTTTATTGGTTAGATGCTAAATTTAATAATAAATATTTTATGAAAGGTATAACTAAACCAGATAAATTTGATAAAATGTTGAAGTTTTTTGAAATTACAGGTAACGATGAAGGTTTAATAAAATTGAAAAATAAAATTGATGAAAGACTCTTAGAATATAATTTATTTACATATATAACATTAAATTATTCAGGTAAATTGTATAATTAAATAAATAATTATCTAAATAAATATATAGTAATGTCTGAAAATGAGAATTATACTATTAATGATTTAATGAAGAAGATAACATTAATTGGTAAAAATATCAAAACCTTAAATGATATGATTAAATCCATTGATGACAAAATGAAACCAGTTGAACGCAATGAAGATAAAGAAAAAATCGAAAAGATATTTCAAGCAAAATCTATAGGAAGACCATCGGGCGACTACCCTACAAAGCAAAAGAAATACTGTGATATGTTGAATACAGGAAAAATCAAACAACCTAAAAGCACCACTTTAGAATTTTATAAAATTTCAAAACATGATGATGGAGTATATGTATTATTTGAATAATTAATATCTAAATAATTCTAAATGAATTTATTAGAATTATTTTCAGGCAGTGGTTCTGTTGGTAAAGTTGCTCGTGATTTAGGTTTTAATGTTATTTCATTAGACTTGAAAAATGCTGATATCAACAACAGTGTCACCATGTAATCCCTTGTCCCGCGGAATTTAAGATGACATGATGTCACCATGTAATCCCTTGCCCCGCGGAATTTAAGATGACATGATGTCACATTAAAACCCTTCAACTGACAAAACCCTAATCCCCACCTAAATTAAGGATTTTTAGGCATATTTCTAGAGGGCACGGAATTTCAGATGACATGATGTCATGATGTCACTACAAATTCCTTGAGGTGACTTCATGTCATTTGAAAATCCTTGGGGGGGCAAAAACCCTAAAACCATACTATAATGATAACATTTATACCCTTATATGTTATAATTATAATGTAAAATGACTTAAAGGAATAAATACTTAATATAATAAGAGGAAAATGCCAATGCTAGGAGTGACAGAAAAAAGCTGGAACAGGATAGAAAGATAATATTGAGTTTCATTAAGGATAATCCCTATCCATCGTATAAACAAGTCATTGAAATAATTAAAAACGATAAAACAATGAAAGATATATATCCAGATATGTTCGCTGAGTATGGAGAACAAAATCATCAATGGATAAAAGAGATTTACGAAAACATAATGAAAGAAGAACTTGTTAAACGTAATGGTAATAGTATGAATGAAAGAGGAGGAATGACAACAATGCATTGTAATTATTATACTTTGGTATCAGTGTTGCGTTATTTAATACAACAAAGAGCACCAATGAAAGATTATGACGTTAACTTAATCTGGTATAATATCAGAAACATGTTGAGCAGTTCTTGGAACAACATAGGAGACTGGAAACACTAAAAACAGGTTTAATCATACTATGATTATCACATGTAAAATATTATATGTTATAATTGTAATATGATTATCGTTTGTAAAGATTGAATTATTATATTTTCCTAATTTGCTTATCTCTTTCAAAGTGCGTTGTTTAGACTTGGTATGCTTCTTCAGTTTTTTCGTGCTTTGGCTGTTTGTTTTTGTTTTGTTTGATACTCTTGTGATATTTTTTGTTGGTATGTTGCTTTGTTTTTTGTTGATGTGTGTTTTTGAGTTTGGGTTCTTTGATGATTTAGAGTGTTGCTGTTTTGTTGGTATGCTTGATTGAATTATTTAATGTTGCATGCTGTGATTAAATATTTTTGTTGGTGGTTGTGATTATTTATTTTGTTTGCTTGTTGTTCTGGATTTTGTTTTCTGTTTGTTGTGTTGCTGTTGGAAAAAATGGTAGAAAGAATAATTCTTTGAATTCTCCTTTTACTATTTTTGGGGGGGGGGTGGTGGGGGTGGCGGGGGTGTGGTTGGGGGTGGTGGTGGGGTGGAGTTTGGTGTGAGCTTTTCCACGTTCGTGGGAAGGGCACGCGCATTCTCAAAGTTGCCCTCCAAATTCCAAAGGGTGTCCCACCACCAAGAAGCAGTTTTGGGATCCCCTCAAAATGCATCCACTTTCAGGGACCCAACAGCGGACATCCAAGACGGTAAAGCAGGGCCACCAACCCAGTCTGACAAGGGTCTTTGGGAAGGTTTGGGGAGTACAATTATCAGCCAAATCGTGCTTTCCCTTGGCATCATTTTGAGAACCCCCACTTTTCGGGACCTTTTGCTCTTTTGGTGCCCCAAGTTGGCACGCGATGAGGACTTGGAGCGCAACCCCTGCGACTTCCTGCAGAGGGAGGATGGGCTGCGCCTGGGTGCCGTGGAACTGGCGCTTCTGGACGTGCCGGGAGGTGGGGAGGGGGAGCTGGGCAAGGGCGGGGGAGAACATGTTCTGTTTGACCCTCCGGCGGACAAATTCTAGTCTCATCGAACGGGATGCGTTCTTCGAACAAAAAGGCGGAGGAGAAGGGACTTTGGGGGGTCCCTGTACTTTTGCCTTCTTACACGCCAAATGCCAGGGGAAAAAGAGTTCGAGTTGCAGGGCCCCATCGTGTCGTCAATGACATTCATTGTTGGTGAGGTGAAACCAGCTCGCTTTCGAGTGGTAGCTCGGTGTCATCCCCCTTTCTGTCTCCTCCAACTCCAGTGAGATACTAGCAATATACGACAGTAGGAAGATTATATCTGGTTAACAGTTTGCAATTGAGCTGCACGTCATGCAGTAAAACCACCAATGCTGAAGAGTATCAGTTGCCGCCTCTTGAACATCCCTGGGAAAGCAACTTGAGCATTTGAGCCCCTAACCTTGAAGTAGTCTTTCCAGGTTTAAAGTGTCGAGGCGCGAACTTAGAGGAGCACGCTTTGGGAAGGAAAGGACGCTCTCACGGGGTCCCTTAGAGGTCCCTTAGCTTTTCAAAAAGCCAAAAGCAAGAAGGCAAGCCCTGCAGGATGGCAGAGTCCTCAACAGGGCCATTTGGTGGGCACCTATTGGCGGCACGAGGCGCCCCTATACCCTCCGATCTTGATGTTGACTGTGGCTGACAGGCCCACCGGCTCAGAGGTCCCTTCATGCTCAGGGAAGCACAGGGTTCCCATTGTAGGCAATCGAGCCTCGGTCTGGTATCGGTTGCGTTTGGTCCTAAACAAAACTGCAACCTGTTGGCAACTGGGTTTCCTTTCGGCTGTGGTCGCACGGCGAAAGTTGCTCCAAAAGGTCAGAGTAAATTTGTTCTTGAGTAAGCGACCGAAAGCCACTGTAGTTTTGTTCAGTCCGAGTTACTACTTTGTCTACTAGGGCCAAACTGAGCTAAAGCCACAGTTCTTCAGCAAGGGAAGCAAACGCAAAAAAACGAAAACAAAACATTACTGCTTGTGGCCACCCTCCACCCTCAACCATCCACCCTATTCTCCACCCTGCGCCCAGCCAACTTTGAGGGGTCGCCTTACTTACTCAAAAGGGGGCGTCAAGAGGTTCCCCCCACCCCTCCCCCTCCCCTCCCCTCCCCTCCCCTCCCTGATTCTTTCTAGTCGCAGCTCCATCCCTTTCAGAACTCCCACCCTTTTTTCGGAGTTCCTTTGACTTGTTCAAGCAAGCTCCACCCCAATCAACTGCCTTCTTCTCTATATGAACCAAAAGGGGGACTCTCAAACGAAGGAGCGAAACGGCTGCAAGTAAGGCATTTCGACCGCGCCTCATATGTTTTCTCTTTCTCTCCGGGGGGTTCCCCTTTTTTCTCCTTTTTTGTTCTTTGTTTTTTGTTTTTTGGGCCGACAAAAGGCAGCGTACGCCCCGACGCCGTGTCCCAGGCCGGCGGTGCCTGCCGCAGGCGGTGGCCGCGGCGGCGGAGGCGGACGTGGCGCTGCTGGCGGTGTCCGCCAGGGGCAAGGAGCTGGAAGCCGCCCTGCGGGAGGCCATGGGCCATGTTTTTTTTCGTTGAGAGGCCGAGCGGGCGGCCTGTCTGCTTAAACCCGCTGCTTTGACATACTGTGATTAGCCATGATTCATTTCATCAACAGGGATGTCGCGGTAGTGACTGACCTGTGATGTTTGGCTCAAGTTTGCGGGTCCGTCGCGCCTCGGATGAGCGTCGCCGGGTCCCCGCGTCGATCACCTTCGTGTCGGTGGAGAAAGAGACATCGGCCCGGGGCAGATTGGTGGGGTCCGCCCGTGCGGTTCATCGTCGATCAAGGTTGCGGGTACTTGTTTACTTGTTTTGGTTTTTCCCTTTTGGTTGTTGTTCTCTGGTGTGTGGGAAACCCTGATCTTTGGGACCGGGGATTGGTTTGCTTTTGGGGAACCTTTCTTTTGTGGCTTGTTTACCCCAACTTACCCATTGCCTGGGCACAGGCTCGTGCCCGAATCACAGGTTATCAGCCGTAGGACTTTCCTACGCGCTTGAGACCATCAACTACAAGCTCTATGTCGACCCCACGATCTCGAAGGAGTGTCGTGGATGAGGAGGCCATCCTAGGGGGCCTCCGCTCAGGTGAGGACCTACCGGACTACGACTACGAGGATTTCGAAGCAGGTTCGACAGGTCAGGATCGCAGGGGTGAAGATCCCGGTAGGGACACACCCAGGAGCCGTGGCAGGTACACCGACGATGGAGACGATCGCATTTTCCGTCAGGCCACCGATGATGAGCAGACACGAAGGGTTCGCTCCGATAGGAGCGGCTCTGAATCAGGTCACAGGCGCGGACAGTTCGACTTCATCAGCATGGCGATGAACATGGCCCGCCCTCATTCGGACGACCCGGAGGCTATGCCGACCCGACCCCCGAGATCTCTTGTTCCAGGTGAGTCTCAGGTATCGGATGAGTTTGAGGACAGGCCGCAAGGACCAGGGACTATGGTTTTGGCTCCGAGAGATATCTCGGGTCGATCCACTGGTTCTCAAAATCCAGGTCAGTTTGATGAGCATGAGGAAAGGAAATTCACAGGCCTCGGATACGATGATCTGTTGAAATCAACCGCGGGTTGGGGCAGTAGCTCAAAGCAGGGATCTGATGCCGGTAGGCCCAACCCTAATACTGCCAAGTCTGAGCTCGATGATGATGATGAATATGCCGCATTTGCGGATCGTCGTGATGAGGAAGAGAACCAATCACGCCGAAATGCTAGGTCCGTGATGCTGCCAGGCCCAGGAGCCTCTCTCGTGGAGCCGCCAGGGACCTTCGTGTTGACAGGGACGCCCGAGGCGAGAGAGAGAGAGCCAGGGAAAGTCGGGAAGTTCTTCGGGGATTGGAGGCCATTCATGACCGGGAGGGACCGATAGGTCCCCCAGTGATTGGTGACACCCCGAACGTTCCCCCTTTTCCCAACATTACATTTGGAGGTCCGCTGCATCAGAGAGACGAGGACTCGAACCGGGTTACTGGTTCGCCGAGGATCACTGAAAGGGCTGCCGATGTCGTTGGGACAGGTGCAAGAGATGGTCGGCTTGCCGATGCACTCGGAATCGAAGATCGTCCGTCGATCGCTAGCCCGTTAGGGCGAGATACCAGTGACCTTGAAACGCTAAGGTCTAGCAACGAATTTACGCCTCAATGGGGCTCGACCGCCAGGGAACGTAGTGCTTCTGCGAAGAGGCCGTCACCCCTGGCCATTGAGACCGATAGGTCAAAGGCGAGGAGGGCTAGCCCCTCACCAATGGGTTCAACTCCGCAGGATGAGGAGATGCCTGATCCTGCTGATGTTCACATTCACTCTACTCCCGAGTCTCGTGCATCCAACATTGATCCCCGATCTGGCGATAGCCGGAGAAGGGGATCTACCCCGAGTAGGCCACCCAGGATTGATGATTGTCCTGTAGGCGACCCCAGAAAACATGCCGGGGCTAGTGGGGCTCCTGAGAGGATCGAGATATCGACTCCTCCGGCCCTCAGATCCCAGTCTTCCGGCGAGTCAGGTGACGCTAGGGCGAAGGAGGTGTTCGATTTGCACATCCAGGAGATGCTCGAGAGGGGTGAGGTTTCTGGCTCAGTCGCGAAGGCGTTCCATATTTTTGCTGACCAAATCAGGTTACTGAACGGTCAGGTGAGTTCCATGCGGAGGGAATGGAGCGACGCGAATCGACAGACGAAGGACAAGGTCGATCGCCTGACAGCTGAGATTGCGACTCAATCTGATGCCGGTAGGATGCGAATGATAGTTCAACGGTTTGCCAAGGAAGTTATTCCCGACAGCAAAGCTATTGTGAGGCAAGCCATCGATGAACAGGCTGAGATCGTGGATCAGAGGATCAATTTGCTTTCTCATGAGATCCATGAATCTGTAAAGGACAATGAGATCGCGACTGGTCAGATTATTCAGATGGTTAAGGAGAATCGTGCGGCCACCCACAGGAGCCATGCTGCTTCTGAGGATGAGATCCTTAAGGACTTGGACAAGCTCGAGGGACGGATGTTCTCGGTAGAGAAAACCGTTGGGATGCGGACGCCAGCAGGTGAATGGAATTTGAATCCTGCTGCGCAACCGCCCGATAGGGCTAGCAGCAGCGGGGCAAACGCGAGTTTCAGGGAGTTAAATCTGAAGCTCGAGAAGGCTCTTCTTGAACACGAGAAGTTTGCTAAGTGGGCCTCCGAATCTATTAGTGGCATTAATGAGGAACAAACCATTCTTGCTAATCGGATGTCGAGGCTGCAAAGTGGGAGGGGGTCACAGGCGATCGATAGATCATCAGGGCCTGTATCCCCGCAGGACTGGCATGAAGCAATTGACGAAGTCAATCGGAAGGTCCAGGATCTATCTCGCGGAGTTCAACGCCACCATGGGGATCATGACGATGTCCTTGCAAGGTTTGAAACCTTGAAGTCCCGTGTTGAGCAGTACGAAGCGAGTTCGGGGATTCTGAATCAAGTTCTTGATGACATCAGAAGGCAGATCCGCAGTCTCCCTGCGAACAGTGATCAAGCGCGGTCTGCCGTTAGGCGTGAACTCGATTCATTTCGGAGCACGCTTGAAGGCGCAATGCGGAGACTCACTACTACCGAGAGTAACATACGTACTCTTAATGGAATGAACAACAGGATCATGGCTCAGCTTACTGATATTGAAGGTCATGTTGACGAGGCTGCTGACATCATTCAGGGTGTTCAAGATAATCAGATGAATCCTCAACAACCCAGAGAGAGACGGAACGTTGGATACAACGCTTTCGCGGGGCAGGGACATAGAATCAGGTCTCCGACGCCCACTCCCGGAGAAGGTAACGGCCTTCCGGTGAGACCGGGCGGAGGTGTTGATTTGGCTGATCATGCTTTGCCAGATGTGCCCGGTAGGGTCGATCCTTCTCATGCAGGCAGGCACCCCATTAATCCCAATAGGGAGAGGGCTGACAGCAGAAGCAGGAGGGCTCGGGGACTGCCTGACAGGTCGCATTCACCGCCAGGGCGTGCGAGGGATGGCCCCCACGCACGCGCAAGGGGGGACATTTCTGTTTCTCCCAACAGGGATGTGGGTAGGAATAGGAGCCCGAGGCCTGCTGCCGTCCCCGATAGGGGATCTGAGGTCCGGAGTCGGCAATCGAGGGGGGAAAGGCCAGTCCGCGATAGCGGGAGCATCTCTCCGAACCTGGATAGGCCGATCCGCGATAGCGGGAGCGTCTCTCCGAACCCTGACCGTCATCCAGGAGGTGGTAGGGGTAATAGGGCCCATGCCGACATCCAGAGTCCCGGCGATAGCTGGAGGACTCCTGGGAGTAGAGCTCGTGCCGATCTCCAGAGTCCCGGCGATAGCTGGAGGACCCCTGGAACTCCATCTGATCGTGGACAGGCCTCGGCACCGGCTGCAAGACGAGCTCCCGGTACCGGTGGCCCAGGTGCGCCAAAGATCTGCGCCCTCGATGAACCCAAGGACCGTAGGCGCCCGGACGCTGAATTCTCATGCGTTACGTGCAATCGTGAGTTTTGCAGGCTTTGCCGGGGCGACGATGGGGACTGTTGCAACTGTCACTTCTTGAAGATGAAGTGTTGGGCGTGTCATAAAAGTGCCCAGGAGGTCCCCATGTATTCCTGCACGGAGTGTGCGAACCACATCTGCGAGGATCATAGTCATTTTGGCAATGATGGCCTCGAGCGATATCCGGCATGAACGCGCTGCAGCTGGACCGCCCCCTCCTCCTCCCCCTGGGGGAGGAGGTGGGCAAGGCGGACCATCCGGCCAAGGTGGGAGTGGATGTGGTGGTCATGGACATGCTCCATTTCCACCACCAGGTCATGGGCATCCCGGCGGAGGCCAAGGTCCCACTGGACCTCCTGGAGGCCCGAGTGGAGGGGCTCCTACCGGGGGTTACCCTGGTGGAGCACCTGGGTTCTATGGTAGTGCTGCTGATACTCATGGAGCTGGGAACAATCAGTGTGGTTCCAGTTTCTATGGTCCTGCCTACGGAGGTGGCGTTAGCTACCAAGGGGTTGGCGCTGGCGTTAGTCAGCCCAACGATCCTGCAGGTTACCCTTCGAGTGTTGCGAGCGGTGGTAACCTTGGGCCAGGTCTTAGCCTTGGCTACAGCGTAAATGGGGCCGGTAGGCAGGGAGATGGTGGTCTTCTCCCTGAAGCCTTGAGGGGAGATGATGGACGGGACAGGTGCACTAAGTGTAGCAGGATCCCTGAGCCTGGTTTCCCTCTTGTTCCTTGCGTTGGTTGTGGAATGAGGGCGTGTGAAGTTTGCTGCCCTATGCCTGCTAGACTGTGTGAAAGTTGCAGGATTACCTCATGTACCCCGATAGGGGCTCTGATTTCCACCGTTGTCGATAAGGATCGGTTCCATCACAAGTGCAACACGATCGTGCTACCTGCTGAGCCGACAGCTGATAAGCTGCGGGAGTGGCTTTCCGAGATAAAGGAAAGGGTCAGGAATGCTTTCAGCTTTGATTCTGACTACGCGTTAGCGTGGATTTCAGAGACTGAG